AGAAAATGGGAAGAAAACGAACGACCTGTGTGAGAAGGCTTGCGGCGCAGAGGATCACCTAACATTGAGATCGATGAGTGAATTGGCGGACGCATACCTTATGTTTGACAACTACTCAGATTCAGTGAAAATCGTATCCAAAGTGTTTGAAATACGAAAAAGGCTGTTAGGAGAGGAGCACCTGGACACTCTTTCCTCGATGAAGAACTTGGGTGCGGCACATGGCATGATGGGAAACTATACAGAGGCTCAGGCACTTAACGGAAAGTCATTTGAGCTTCATCAAAGACTGCTAGGACCGGAACATCCAAATACCATTTCATGCATGCACAAGTTGGCACTCAACTACATTGGTCTAGAACAGCACGAGAAGGCTCGAGATCTAACCGAACAGATAGTGGCATTAAGGAAAAGAGTTTTAGGTCCGGAGCATCCAAAAACCCTCGTGGCAATGTATAACCTTGGCATAGTCTATCGAGATCTAATGGACTATGATAGAGCCAGAGCGCTAGACGAACAGGTATTTATGTCGTACAAGAGGACTGTGGGCTCAGAGCACCCGATGACTCTTTCATGTATGCATGCTCTGGCTGTTGATTACGATCATCTAGGCCAATTACACACCGCTAAAAACTTAGCTGAACAGGCACTAGAGCTGCGCAAAAAGGTGCTGGGACCAGAGCACTCGGAGACTCTCACAATAACGAGTGCTCTCAGTAGAATTTATCGTCGTTTGGAGGAAAATGAGAACGCTCGAAAGTTGGACGAAGAAACATTAGCCATCTGCTTAAAGGCTTGGGGATCGGAACACCCAGGAACACTTGACACCATGAATGATTTAGCCCGAGATTATCGGCGCCTAGGGCAACATCAGATTGCAAAGGAGCTCGACGAGAAGACGCTAACATTACGCAAAAAGATACTGGGACCAGAACACAAGGACACGCTCATGTCCATGAACAATCTTGCCGGAGACTATAGTGACCTAGGGGAATATCAGAAAGCTCAAGAGTTAGATGAAGAGACATTAACACTCCGTCGAAGATTCCTAGGATCAGAACATTTAGATACTCTTCTGTCGTTGAATCATCTTGCCTGTGACTATCATGATCTCGGGCAGTATGAGAAGAGTCATGAGCTCCAGGAACAATTATTGTCACTACGAAAAAAGGTCTTGGGACTTGAACACCCGTATACTCTCGAATTGATGAACGAGTTGTCAGCTCAAGACAGCTCAACAAATGAATTGGCATAAATATCCCCTCTTTAGTGCGCTTCAAATTAAGACACTTAGTGTATCACTTGTATCCAAGATCGATTCATAAATGATAGGTTATGTTCGAATCACAAAGGGCCATGAGATGTCGTACAATAGTTTGTTTATTACGAGCAAAAAGGTACGTACGAAAGTGACGCAAACAAAAAACCGTTCTTCCTACATAAAGCCAGAACTATCGAGTCACGTTGCTACGCTCCTGTGAGAGCATCATCGTGTAATCCAAACCACAGCGCTAACTGGGAGCTCTCAGCCGAACGAACTATCTGAGCGAAGGTCCAGTGTCACAGGAATGGGATTTAGAACGGAATATTTGTCTCGAGCATATGTGTTAGCTATCATCATGTCAATGTCGTGATGACCTCTTAGGCGACCTGGACCGATCGCGTCGCCGGTCACTACATGGACAATTAGACGTCAGTATCAATCCAGAATTTCATGACGCAGACTTACTCATAGCCCCTACTTGATCCGTATCGATCCCTATCCCGATCACCTCTGTCACGATGTTCACTACGGTGATGATCACTTCTATGGTGGTCGTCTCTGGATGAGCGGTGGTCTCTATCTCTGTCACCCCGGGAACCATCCCCTCTTGAGCCAGAAGGTCCAGTTGGGGCACCAGGCACCCCTGACGCTGGAGTAAACGAGGGCGATGGTCCACCTAGAGTATAGCGGTTAGCTGATCGAGTATATTGCCCCCGTAGTCTGAGGAAACCCACCTTGGCCAAAGGATGGGACCGGGGGAGCATTTCTTCGCTTCTCCTTCTCTTCCTTGAACACTTGCAGCATTCTTCGGAGTTCATGATAGCCAAGATGCATCTAGAGAACGACGTTTAGCGAATCGAGAGCAAAGGACTGGAAGGTTTGATTACCTTTCCTCCGAAATGGTCTGCCAGTCGTCGATCACTGTCGAGTACGGAAAGGTACGCCCCACACACGTCGCAGACTCGTAGCTTTTGGTGACCAGAAGCTCCCGATGTTTCCGTGAGATTTTGTAGCTCGCGCTGTCCGGAGAGTCAATCACTTGCTTGCAATATCGCGAGGTCGCTTACCTCTTTATCACCCTTTTCGACTTTCAACGCCTCGACTGCACGCAGTTCGTTCATACTCTCTTCAACGAGACCCTGCTCTCCAAGTTGTTCTATCTTCTCCGTGCCCCCTTGAATGGCAAGCTCAAGTTCACCGATTTCTTTCATCTAGAGTTACGAATACAAATTAGCTCATACACAGTAATCCAAATGGCCCTGTGTCTTACCAAGTTGGTCGTCTTGGCGTTCTCCTCTGGTGTCTTTTCTAATCTTCGGTGAGCGGCTTTGATCCTCCTGTCACATTCGTCGACAAAGAGAAAGATGTTTTGCTCGTATTCTGCTTGGAATTGAGCGAAGCGTGGGTCCAGGGGATTCTTTTCCTTTGCGGCGGTGAATTCTGTTTTTAATCGGTCTGTATGCGATTTGGGACAGGCACCCAAGTCCATTTTCTGAAAACATGGGAATCGTCAGCACATACAAAGGGGAAGTAGATGAGACAACGAAGTGAACTTTGAAGGGACTGAAAACGAGAAGGCGGTGACATACTGTATTGGTAAAGAGCGTATGTGGACATGTCCCACAGAGGAAGTTTCGGCACACTTTTTCGTCCCACCACTCTAGATGTGCATTTGTAATTCCCATTGCCTCAGGACCCATCATTTGCTATGTGTAGGAAGTGAAAATCCCATCCAACATCGATGTTCCAGCATAGCGCGCATGCATGTTCCAAAGTTTTTGTCCACCAAGAAACCAAGTTGTAGGCGCATTTACGTAGAAAACGCGTACAGATCCAGTTATTAGATGTGTTTGAGGTCGTTTGGTGATTCATACGAGGTTGATGCAAGTTTGAGGCATGAGGTGCACAGTTGGGGCAAACCATGGAGAAATTTGTTAGCGCACAGAGTATTCTAAAGGATTCGTATCATCTTACCTCGAGCAGCTTTCGCTGCATTTCCGCTAGCTTGCCCATTTTGGCTTGAGGTGACTAATGTGGTGATAGTGCAAGGTATGGCTTGTATCCGAACGATGTGGGTGAACACCAGAAGCTTGACATACCATACGAAGGCGAACAACGCTGCATGTCGGGCTGCAAATTCAACATTACAGGATGCACCTTGCTCACGAAGCAGGCAGTCCGCAGCGGATCACTAATGTTATTGTCAGCCAACAAGGCTAGGGACTAGGCAACCTCAACCTCATTACAAAAGGGCTCGGTCTCAATTGGAACGTACGACAAAGACTATCTCGATAGGTTTCAGTTCCTTTGCGGCCGATATAGAGCCCTTTTGGCAGGCAATACACTCTCGCA